TCCATGAGGCCGAGTGAGATTTCCCAGTGCTCGCTCTCCCTTCATCCTACTATTTCCTCCCTCCTTGAGGCTTTTTCTACTCTTATCCATCCATCCATCCATCCATCCATCCATCCATCCACAGGCACCCGCCAAACCCACTTCCCCTGCCAGAGGGCCTGGCCCAAGCGCCTTTCCTCTGGGAATCTTTCTGGCTACAGTTGAATTCCAACCCCCGTTGACCCATAGACAGCAGAAGTTTGAACTGTGAGCGTCCATCTATACACGGATTTTTTTTTATAGCACTGTGAATGTGTTTTCTTTTCCTTATGATTTTCTTAATAACATTGTCTTTTCTCCAGCTTATTTTACTATAAGGATAGAGTATATAACACGTACAACATACAAAATACGTGTTAACTGTGTGTTATTGGTAAGGCTTCTGGTCAACAGCAGGCTGTTAGTACTCAAGTTTTGGGGGAGTCAAGAATTATATGTGGATTGTTGACTATGTGGTGGTCAGTGCCCCAGGCCTCGTGTTGTTCAAGGGTCAAATGTATTCCTCATCAAGTGCCAGGAACTTGACATATTTTACCTCTAATCCTTTATCTGATCACAAATCTCAGAGATATTAAATGAGTAACCCAGGGATCCAGACCTAGAACTTTCTTTCCCTCAAGCATATTCTCCTTCCACCAGGCCACACTCTCTTTCCTTCCTGGCTACCAAAATACTGTTTCACTCCACACAAATTTTCAAAATTTCCTGTAATTCTCTTTACAGCACAGAAACTACCTATCTTGTCTTTATAACAAAGGTCTAAATGTCCTTCCCTTTGCTTGTTTGTTTCCTGTCACAATCCACTGCACAAAATAGGTGGCAGAAAAAAATGTTGAATATGTTTGATTATCGCTGTGCCCCCTAACTCAGCGCCTGGCATGTGGCAGATGTCCAGGTTAGGGATTCAGGTGTAGACAAGGCTTAGCCTGGGTCTCCACCCTCAGCCTGCCATACCTCACAGGTAGGTGGCTGTGCGACAAGTGGTGGTATCACACTGAAAGGCCATCAGTGTGGTTTAGTGGAAAGACATTGCAGTGACAACCTGGGTATAAATTCCAGGTCTGCGACATGCTGTAAAATCTTGGGCAAGGTACTTAGTATCTCTGAGCCTATTTTTTCAGATGTAAAATAGGGATTATACTATGTGCCTCCTAGGAATGTTCTAAGGATTCAGAGGCAATACGGGTAGGAAAAGGAGCTCTCATCGTGGTGCTAGTGTTCACAGGACACCTTCATCTCTTAGGGAGACTTGGAAGGCCAGCTCTGAGGGTGGCTGAGTTGGCTTGTAAGCATTTCTTACCTTACGGTTCTATCGTCAGTTCCTTTCTACCTTATTGACTTTTGGTGGTTTGAATAGACTTGTCAACGAAATTTTCATTTTTAAAAGCTGTTGCTCATCAGTATTTAAAAACTCTCATTTTTAGTTTTTCCTTGCCAATTTGCGTATAAACCACTGTTACTGGATCTGTTTTTCCATTAAAGATTTGGGGATTAGCCCCAGGCACAAAGCATTAATGTTATTTCCCTTGTCCCTTACATAACAGGACTCATCTCTGCCTTTAATTGAAGTAAGGACGATTTGGTAACAGTTTTGGTTCTAATTATGATAGAATTGGCTCATAGCCAGGGTGGTATAACTAGGGGCTTTGGGGTCAGGCGGCTCTGGGTTTGAATTCCATTTTTACCACCTACCTGCTTGCACAAGATAACAAATCTCTCTGAGTCTCTTTTTGCTCTATGTAAAAGGAGGATACTCTTAACTGATTTTGCCGAAGGACCAAATGCTAAACGTATAGTGCCTGGCATAGTAGAACGGTAATAAATGCTAGTGCTCTTTCTAGAAATAATCTCTTAAACCTCAAGGACTTTGGTGGAAACTGTTTAAGATAATTACATGGTATCCTGGAGTGGCATGTGAGTCTACTTTGCATTTGAACCACTAGCAGATTAAGCCGGACTTGCACAGGGAAACCTTCCTCTAATTAACCTGGGGTTGGGTGATTTTAAGCCAGTTTTCATCCTGCCGCAGAAACAAAAAAGAGGAGACTGAAGAAATGCTACTCCTTTAATTGAAGGAACACTTTTATGTTCTCAGGTCTATTTTAATCTTAAGTGCCGATTATGCATCATTCTCTCCTGTTAACAGACACTTCTGTAAGTGATCTGCATGGCGAGAAATATGATTCTTACATAAATACTGTACCATGAGAAATTACCTTATTACTTAATATGCCAAAAAGCTAATAAGATAAAGGAATGGTACGAGTCATTTTTGGACAATATTAAAACTTGATTTTAGCTCATGGAAATAAAATGTAATTTCCTTTTATTATTCTCTTTTCCAGGTAGGACGAAGGCAGTGGAGGATGGAGGGATATTATACAGCTGTGTTCCAGGGGCTCTTCTTAGGGCTGTGGAATGGATCCAGGCAGGATGGACTCAAATTAAGATTGTAATGACTCTTCTGTTTAGAAAACACACTCTTGCTGTTAATGATGCCTTGTCAGGAATGATTTTTTAATTTGCAAATGAAAGTAAAACACCCATTTCCTATTCAGTTGTATGAATGCTTGCCTCCGTGTGTTTGTTTGCATGCGTATGTTGGTTAAAGAACAAAGGCACGGTGCCTGCAGAAAGTTAAGTGCAAAACAATGTGAAGAACTGAGAGTTTCCTGAACCAGCTCTGGTGAAAGGCGATTAAATGCCAAATTTTGACAAGGCTAAGGTAGCTAGACACAAATACTGTCTGCAGAGAAGCACTATGAGACTTTGAGTTTCAAATGTACTTTTAAATGTTCTCTGGGATTGAAATTTTTTTATTTATAAATGAACAAATAATGACTGGTCTTGTTGAAAGAAATTTAAATAGGACCCAAGTTGATAAAATCTTCTGGCTGTAGTAACAATTGGCCATTGCTTGATCTTCGCTGCCAGATGTAGGTAGTGTTGATGCTGGTGATGATGCGGGATGGTTACAGACACAAGCGCATGTTTTTTGCCCTCCTTTCTTCCTATCAGTTTGACAGAAATAACACTAAGTAAATGCCTTCAGCCTTCCTTGGCATGCAATTTTTCATCCAAGCAAAACATAATGTACCTAGGACCTAAAAGAAATGTAATAATTTCTGCATTCTTGTGATTTGTTAAAACTTTCCCACAAACACCTACAGAAACTATATAACGTTTGCCTGGAGATTTAAGGTAACAGGCTTACACTCACAGCAAGATGAAATTTTTATTAGATGTTAGGCAGACATGTTATGCTGATGTTGAGAAGTGCTGCCAAGAGAGTGTATGTAGAATGGCCTGTTACGGATATTTTACAGACCTATTTAAACGCCTACAGCCATTTGTGAAACTTTCAGGATAGATCTGTTGGAAGCCGGGGAGTGAATGTTAGGAACTGGTAAGATTCCACCGACTTCTAATATTCCAAAATAATATATCCATTTGCTTAAAATGCACTAAAACGACACCTTTAAGGATCAGAGGTGGTGATGATTAGTAATAACCATTGCAGGTTTAGCAGTGACATTTTTAGATCGTACACACACGTTGTGAAGCTCTGTTATTCCTAGGAGCAGCTAGGAGTTTGTCCATTTTTCTTCAGAAAAGGAACATAGGGGCTTGTCTTTAAATAAAACTAAAATAAGAATCTTTAAGTTCAACTACATGAAGTTCAGGCTGACTTAGTTTTAATATTTAGCTTAGTTAATTAAATCCCATTCTTTGCCCTGAATTTAATTATCCCAACCATTGAGGTAATTTAATATAATAATAAAAGGGGGGGGGCTAATGAGAAATGGAAGAGAATCTGACTATTCCTTCATCTGGCTCAGTGGGAGCATTTCTTCTGCAAGTGTCAGTTTATGGACAGTGATGGTTTATGGGGCATTATGAATTTTCAATTAGGGAGAAAATGGAAACGAAAGACAGACAGTAGATCATCCAAGAGTGATCGTATCAGGAAATCACTAAAAAGCTCATCTGTAAAGTTCAAGGCATATTTTAATATGACTTCATGATACCTTAGGCATTTTGTGCCCCCTCTCAGGGGAGCTCAAAATCCATGGCTTTTTTTAATTTTTATTTTTTTATATACACTGTTTAAGTCCTTGCTTAGGGTTTCTATTTAAAGGTAAGAAAGTCAAATATTTGCCGCTTCTATGCAAAAGTGAATGCTAAAATAAAAAGGTGACCTTTCTTGTTTAGCTGTCACTTCCAATGCAAAGGTCTATTTTAAGGTCTGTTTCCTTAAAACTGCGCAAGCTCTGTGACCTCGATGCTGAGGTGCTATGCAGTACAATCAGACTGGGATCCAAAACCCAGCTGGGAACTTGCTAGCTGTTTCAAGCAGCTTATTCTATTGTGCCTCAGTCTTGCCATCTGTGAAATGAGGATAGTGCTATCCACTTCCCCCGGATTGCTGGGGAGCCAAGTGGGAGAATGCAGAGGGCACCACACAGCCTGACAATAGATGCTCTGCAAATAGTGATCTCCTTTCTTCTGAATAAGTAACAAATAAGTTATAAATGGATAACAGACGCCAATGTATCATCATGCCAAACATAAAGCCAAACGTGCCAGCTCGTTATCAATCAGGGCAGTGTTCCTCACTTTAAAGTGCTGGTGATTCACCTGGGAATCTGCTTAAATATAGATTTGCATTCAGCCTAAGATTCTGCATTTTAACAAGCTCCCAGATGATGCAGATACTGGCGGCTGGAGCCACACTTTCAGTCATAAGGAACTAGGCCAGTGACTTTTGAATACGGAATTGACTTGGAGAGACCGGGCTAAGTTGCAAAGCACAATTTTACTCTACTTTTTGTTTGTTTGTTTGTTTGTTTTTGCATTTGTTTAATGATAAAATTATTGGGGAAATCTGAAGATGCTACACAAAAAAAAGTTTGAGTGAACACATTTAAAAATCTGGGAAGCTCAAATCCATTCTACACACTTTCATTTATTGTCTGGACAGATAAAGTACAAATAATTCAAACACAACAAGGTTATGAAAAAAAAACATTTACAACACTTCCCCTCAGAAATCATCTAAACTAGCAAGATTAACATGAAGTCATTCATTATAACTAAAGTATACAACTGCCTGGTCCTAAGATTTTTTTTCCTTTTTTTTTCCCCCGAGAGTGAACACATTATAGAGAAGAGATTTTTGGCATGCCTTTCCCACTAATGCTCAGCAAATGCATCAAAACTTTGCCAGCAAACTGCGTTCATTCATAGCAGGCGATGTAAAAAGTTTTCCCTGAATGTTGAACGAGTGTTCTCTGAACTGAAATCTGGTGGTTGTTTTTGTTTTTTTTTTTGTTTTTCCGCAACCGAAAAGAGGAAAAAAAAACAGAAAAAAAATGTAAAGGAGGAGTCTATGATGCAGCCTTGGTTTTCGTGATCTGTCTACCACTACGACTGCTACTACGAAGCTTGCCTCTTCAGTGTGAAAACAACAGTTCTCTCTACATGCACTTAGTGGGTTCAGCATGGGAAAAAACGCACAAAATAAGCACAAGTTATAAATAACCATAACGTTTTATTACCATTAAGACTAAACTTGTATTGAAAAGATTTTATATAACAAGACAAGAAAAGCAATAGCAAATTTAACTATCAACTAGATTATGCATAGCGAGTAACTGTTTCTATTACCCAGGGAAGAGCATGAACCCTTGTATTTTTTTGTTTTGTTTTTGTTTTAAATATATAACCGTACAAAGCACAAACATACTAAAATGATCAGTGCACTGGACGCGGGAGGATGCTCCCTCAGTCATTTTGTTCCCTTAGCTCTGTTTTGTTTTCCCCAATCTGAATTACATTAAAATAAAGACCCAGTTGTTTTTATTTTTCTACTGTGCAGTAAGAAAAAATATTCACAACAAACATGACAATATATCAAACAATAGTTCTACACAAGTTACCTTGATACCTCTTTAACTGTCACTTAAATATCATAAGAAAACATTGTAAGACATATACAAACAAAACTAGCCAAGTGTTACAACTTATAATAAATTAACCCAAAGAAAAAATAACTTTATATATATATATTTATATTGTATATACACATACACACACAACAGAATGACACAATAATATGCTTCTTCCCATAGTTTAAGTAAACAAATAAGTAGTCTAGCCAATCTAGCTATATTTGATCTCGGCCATAGGCATCATCACATCGGCGATTAAATAAATAAGTGTTTCAAGCAACATAAACAGTGTTTCAAATGTACCAACACAGCCCAATTCTATCAGCATGGGCTACAAAGTGAATTTGAAAATTCCTTAATGAATTTAAAGCAAATGTATCTTTTGTTTTCCTCTCCTAAACACATTACATTTAACTATGATACTAAGATATGTAAATAATTTCGTAGCACCTACTGCTCAAACTAAGGAAGTTTTAGATCAAAAGGAAAATTAATCTTTTTAATTTTTGTTCTGCTGACATCCCATACTGATGACTTAAAGAAAAACTGTCTTTCAACTCATCTCCTTGCTTTTGGGTTTTGACTGTGGGGAACTGTGGTACCCTGGGTAGAACGAACACTCCTTTCCCCTAGTAATTAATAATTGTTTTTTATTATTATTACATGCTATGAAAAGATATGAAGATCATCTGTTTATAGCCCATCCTTCAAAAAACAGTCTACGAATCCAGTTTAAAACACACATCTTGATCTCTAAAAAGTTACCAGTGCAGTATGAACGCGACAAAGTTGTCAATTTCCCCTAAATTAGCCAGTCAAAATATTTTTTTCTCAAATCCAGATTCTCTTGTAAAAATTCTTTATATTTTATAAAAATAGATTTTTCTTGAAACCCATTTTCAGCAAAGAGACCACCTCTTTGGCAACAATGTTAATGTTATTAAATTGTTAATGTCATCAGGTATCCCCCTTGCCCCCATCCCCTAACAGAAGACTGTTTTTAGTTCACATGATATAAAAGAAAAAAGGAAAAATAAAAAAATTTGCAAAAGTTTTTTTTTCATTTTTGCAATTTTTATTATTCCTCTTTTGATTTGTGTGGGGTTTTTTTTTTTTTTTTTTTACCAATCTGATTGGATCAACTTTGTGACAAAAAAGAAAAATCTTTTTTTTTCTTTCTTTGAATCCCATTACTTTGTAAAAATTGTTTTATTTTTATTATTTTTTTTTGTTTTTTGTTTTTCTTCTTCAAATGAGTGAATGGTCATCTTAAAAAGACCCACCTTCAAGGAAGGTAGTAAAGTTAGCTGGCTGGGTTAAAATCCCTGCACATCGCTATCTATGTATATTATATTCAACAACGACAGCTATGAAAGAACATTCAATGCATCAAAGGTATTTTTTTTGTTTTTTTTTTTCTTTTTTTCTAAGCATTATAAAATCCTTTCCTGGTACACGTCAGGATAATCCAATGTTTTAATACTTAGGCAACACTGGCTTATAAAGTCCATGGTTGAATATAAGCCTCGAAAAGTTTGTTTCTCTCTCTTTTGTGTGTGTGCGTGTGTATGTGTGTGTGTGTGTGCGCGCATGTGTTTTGTTCGTATATATTTATATATATATTTTAATAAGTAAGGATGGGAAATTCAGGACTTATGGGCTTTGTTGGTTTTAAAGGAAACTTGCAACACTCGGTCTCCTAGGCGGTACCCGTTGAGGCTGGCAATGGCCATGGCTGCCTCATCATAGTTGGTCATGGTGACAAAGCCGAAGCCCTTGCACTTGTTGGTGTTGAAGTCGCGGATGACCTTGACGTTGTTCACGGCGCCAAAGGGGCCGAAGAGCTGCCAGAGGACACTCTCGTCGGAATCAGGGGACAGGTTGTAGACAAAGATGCACCAGCCCGTTCCCGTGTGACCAGGGATGTTCATTCCCACAAGGCTTGTCATCCCATCAATTGTGATTGGGGAGAACCTGGGGGAACAGGTAGAAGGGGGGACTGGTCCAGACATCAGTCTGACCATGGATAACACACAGATGCACAGACACAGACATGGGGCAGAGGGCTGAGTGAGTGTTTGCAAGGAGAGTCTTCAGGGTTTAAAAACCAAAACACAAAAAAACTAGTGTCTGTGGCATTTCTTTTGAATGGAAAGGCTAAACTGGCTAAGGCCCATATATGGCAAGAAAAAGGCTAGGTCGATTCCTAATAACCACAAGGAACTCCCATAGCAAGGCTCCATTATGCTTCTGCCACAGTATATGGTCATAGGGTGTCCCACCCTGACCGTTCTTGTCCCTCCCCACAACAGACAGCGAGCTCTTGGGAGGAGGAGCTCGGTTTCATTCATTCTGTTGCTCTACTTATTTATTCAGTTGGGCACATACGGGAACATCACAGACATAGTGACACATAGAAAACACTCAGTAAATTCTTCTTGATTGCATGAGTGAATAACATTGGTGGATATCAATGCTTGGGAAATTTTATTTATTTTTTAGGGCAGATTTGGAGATGGCCCCAGGAGTGCTCAAGTCTACCGTCTTTGCAGTCCCCTGACTTATGGTTGTCAAAGATCTCTTGATATTTTGAGGAGAGAGACACATGAGAATGAACAGACATACCTTGTTATTAATCAGATGAGTGGTTCTGTTTCATTTAGCATCTATTCAAGAGTTCCAAAAGAAAAACCCCCAAGCCATAATAATAAAGACATTATCACTCCTTGATGCTATATTATCTGGAATTCATTTCTAAGCATCACAGGAGTGAGATTTCAAGTGGTTTGTGCATTTATGTATCTTGAATTAGAAAAGCTGAAAACTGTTATTTGCCCTATTACAACTACTTTTGTATTGGGCTTTGAAATCTCAGTTTTCATGTTATCTTGAAAAGCAAAACAACCCTTCCGATTCTATTCACTGTCTGATAAAATATATCCATGTGTGATTCATAATGGATGCATCTAGATTAGGTAACCAGGGCCCACGGCAGAAAAATATTTGTTAACATTTTGTTTTATACCAAACGTATACAGGGATTTGGGCCCTACCCATTGACTAGCGTCTTGGTTTTCATGTGGTTGGGTTTTGTTTTGTTTTGTCTTCTGAAAAAGGGGATAGGAAGAGGAGAGGAAGCAAAACTGGGGAGAGAATGGAGTAAAGTGTTATCTGGGACTTTTTTTAAAAAAAGATTTTATTTATTTATTCATGAGACACATAGAGAGGGGAAGAGACATAGGCAGAGTTGGAGAAGCAGACTCCATGCAGGGAGCCCAATATGGAACTCAATTCCAGGACCCAGGGATCACAACCTGAGTCGAAGGCAGACATTCAACCACTGAGCCACCCAGGTGTCCCATATCTAGGATGTTTTGTTGTTTTGTGTTTTGTTTTTTAGGAGGGGGGGAAGATGGAGAGAGAGTCTCAAACAGGCTCCACACCCAGTGTGGGAGTTTGATTAGGGACTTGATCTCACAACCCTGAGATCACGACCTGAGCCAAATCAAGAATCCTATGTTTAACTGACAGCTGCCCAGGCGTCCCTAGGATGTTTTAAAATAAGCAAATATTCTCGGAGATCTGAAAGTCCAATGAAAGAACAGTTCTGCATCTAAAGAGAATTTAGATAATCAAATGGCTGCTGAAGATATGCTAAACATAACAACTCAATAGGTACTAATTTTGGCATCAGTCACTAAGTCAATCTTGTCTCTTGCTTAAAAACAAGTAACAAGACAAAACTAAAAAACAGCATGGCAAGGATTCTTAGAAGGGCAAATCCATGTCTGTTATTTGCATTATTTCTGAAGACTGTCTTCTCAGCCTTCTCTCCTCCAACTGAGTGAATTGACACCGTTCAGGTTAAAGGTAGAGAACAGTGAGGTATTTATTTTAAGGCCATCAAAGTCAGGAGCCAGCAAAGAGGTTTCAAGCAGAGTCTCAGCTCTAGTTGGTGATGGCCACCTGGACCACTTTGGGAGGAAGGAGTCTGGATCCAAATCTGGGTCCAACAGGAAAAGAGAATGCTCTTATGGACTAGTGGTGTTTGCTCTGAGTGGGGAACCAGAGATGGTGGCAGCGTGCATGCTGCCGCTGTGCCTTCTCTGGCCTCATCATGCCTAAGCATCCGTACATAATTGGTGCCACCTCCCTGAAGTTGGAGGGGAACGAAGGCCTGAGATGGGAAAAATGTAAAAGTGGGAGAGGGAAGAGGCAAGCAGTGTGCCAGACACATGGAAGTAATTCACAGTCATCCTCCTGGTGCCAAGATTGAGATCTGAGAGGCTGGCACTGTGCTAGTAAGTCTGCAGTCAGCTTACTTCCTCTACTGTGTGCCAGTTTCCAGAGTCAGGGTACTTACCATGCATGGCCAAGTGGTGAAACACTGCCTCATATGGGAGTGTAACTGGGACTATTAAGGACCACATCTCTTTGCCTGACTGTAGGAAGGGGAATTAAAGTGTGCAGCTCTATTGAGCAGGATGATGAAGATGCTATGTCCCTAGCAGCTCAGTGGAGCTTATCAAAAGCACATATGGGAATCTCATGGACACAGTGACATAACGCACTCAACTTCCTGAGACTCGGCTTTTAGACTAGGTCTGGATCATTCCTGTGACTGCATTCAGAGAGCCCCACAAACCTTGATTCTCTTTGAGCCCCCGACCCCACAGAAAGGCTTTAAATGAAAGAAACCGCAAGTTTAAAACAATACATGTAAAACCAAGGGAGGATTTATAACTGCTAAAACCTGTAACAAAAGAAACTCCTGGTTGAGGTGCACACAGATACACTTCATTCTCAGGCTGTGCCCTGAAATGCACCCTGAGGTGGGGGTGAGAGTCAGCAGGTCATCCACACGTTTATTCATGCTTCGGCCAGGCCTGGTAGTCCAAAATCTAATTTTTCCACTGACAATCATAAGATTGTCAACCATGATTAGCAAAATGTTCTAATTTTTATTTGCTGGAATCTGCCCTCTTAACTGAATCTCGGCATTGCTAATGCCAAACAGTTGCTCTGCAAGTTTGCAAGATCAGCTGGCAAAGAGTAGGAGCCTTCTCCCTTAGGGGAGGCGTCCAGAGAACCAGATTATCAAGGGCTTGGTAGCTGTGGCACCTGAACCATAGGAGAAGCCCACCTGCAAATAAAAGAAAAAGTGAAACACACAAGCACACTTTGTGTGCCCTAAAAGAAACAAAACCAACTGAGGTCTGAAATTAAAATTAAGAATTTGACATGCTGGTGGAGGAAAAAGGAAGAATTAAAAAAAAAAAAAGTAAAGTTAGTGAATTAAAAAAAAAAATTTCTAGCCCCAGTCTGTGCCAACACGGACATCTGGCAATCTGTGGAGTTTTAATTACCTCTTTACGCCATAGGCCATATTAAGCAAATTGTCCAGCCTGCAAAGAGAAGGAGGGTCTCTGGGTTAATGCCTCACAGATGGCAAGATCGCTCAATGGAACTATTAATAAGAATGCTCCATTTTCAAAGAAGAAAAGCTCAATAACTTTCCCCAATGCTTAGGAGTCTATCCACTGGTAGTTCCCCCTTTTCTGCCTCCAACTATGAGTAATTCATGTTCAGGTCAATGCTAGAGTTTAAAGCAAGTGTCTAATGAAGCTCCCTTTCTTTCAAGGTCTGAATTAATCCCACTCCCCCCTCCTCTCAGAACATTTGTGTGGATTTCATTTTATATCGTGTGTGAAATCATTAAAAGGGGGCAGCTTCTTACATCGTTCACCTTTTATTACGATTCACCTTTTATTGCAATTAAACTCGTGCATGAAAGGAATACACGTGCATGCACAATGCATAGCAGAATGGATCTTTTCTCTTATTCTAGCTACATTAACTAAATCTTCTTACCACACACATTTTTTGGGGGGGAAGAAGGAGTTTGAGGGTTAAGATTTTTTACAATTAGCTTACTATTTACAACCTGAAAGCTCCTCCTAGCAAATTGCCATTATGTTATAATCTCCCTCATGTTCAGTATTTTACTGGAGGACAAGCTATTCACACCATGGGGCAGTAGTAACCATAGTTTCCACCATTAGAAGCCTGCTGGAAAGGCTTTTTACATGAATACTGCATGTGCTCTCACACAAAATAAAAATTAGATGACTTGGACTCTTCATGAAATCATTAACCCTTTCAAATTCCCAGGACAGGACACTGCTGAGGCTGATTTTCCTCCTTGTCATGGCCAGATGGAGGGCCTGCTATCTTTCCATGTGATGTTTGAAAAGGAGAAAACAAAAAACAAAAAACAAAAACCTTTCAATTAAAGGGTAGTTGGGACATGCGTGGAATAAAATAAGTATTTAAAATTATTATGGACACGTCAAAAATGTTCTTATCTCTTGTACAATAAAGGCAGTCAGGTTGATTGGCTTCAAGGAGTGAAACCTGACTTTCAGAAATGTCCCAGGAGAAGGGAAGTGCCCCAGCGCACTGGGAGGGTTGGGTGCCTGAGGAAACATTAACAAGGCTTAGAAAAATCTTCCTTCTTGTCTTCCCAGAATCTGCTGACTTCACAGTCAGAGTGAAGTTAACACGAAAGAGACTACCTACCCTACAGAGTAACCTGCAGGAGAAAGAGGAGGACAGGCCAAACCATTCTCCCTGGGAGGATCTGCCTCCTGGCCTATACTTTAACTTTATTAAAAGCCACTCCCTCAGCCTTAAGTCTAAGATGTTGAATGTGGCCATTTATTTGTGATGAACTTTTGTTGAAATGGAACCTTCTGGTTTGGTTAAATGTAGAAATTTTGTTCTAATCCAAGAATCTGAAGTTTAACCAGTCACAGTGGTAAGTTGAAAGGGGGCTTGGAAAAGCATCTGGTCCAACCATTTCATTTTACAGTAGTGGAAACTGAGGCTCAGTGGGTAGGTTCGTTCACACAGGGACTCCTAGGGGCGGAGGTTCTTAGGCTTGCCCCATCTTTCAGGGCTGTGGGTTGCCCTGGCCCTCGCCCAGCTGTGTATTTGTGTAGGAGGGCTCTTCCCTGGAGGCTGTGCCTACCTGAACCTCTGGGCCTGGTGGTGAAGTGGGCCAGGGTAGCGCCGGTTGGGGGATTGGTAGAGCTGGGACAGCAGCGCCTGGCTGGACTTCTGGCTGGGGTTGTTGGCAAACTTCACAGTAATCGGTTCCGTAGCACCGCTGGGCTTCTGGCCGTTCAGCCCTTTGATGGCTTCTTCTGCCTCGATTCTCTTATCAAACCGGATGAATCCCACCCCTCTGGACACTCCTGGGGAAAGAGAAAGAGCCTTCATAAAGCATGAACAAACCAAACTGGTAAACATCCTTGGGAAGAGATGGGATGGGCCGCATGGATATTCTAAGGGGAGTCAGCCCACTAGTGGGGACAGGGCTGAGCCTGCCTCCCCGAATCCCTCTCACCCATCAGGATGCATCTGCCTGTGTTTTTGCTACCACGGCTCTGGACCAGTGACTGCCACCCACAGAACACAGGCACCTGTCACATCCATTCCAGCCTCTAGCACCGGCCCGTTCAGTCCTTGTCTCCCTTAGTTGTTGTCACCCATCACCCAGTGTCTAGTCCTGCCATGTGCCCTCCACACCTAGCGACTATGTAATCTATTTTTCAAGCAAACTCTGACCACATTACACTCTTTAAAAACATCCTTTATACATTTTTCATAACTTTTCAATTCTTTACCTTGTGCATGGTACCTGTTCCTCATTGTTTCCCACTCCACACGCAGAATAACAAACAAAACCCACAAAAACCCCCTTTCCGTGGGCCCATGTTGCAAACAGATAAGTCAGACTTCTCAGTACGGCATCTAATGCCCCTGATGATGTGGCCCCAAATCCTCTGTTGAGCCTCATGTCAGCCGTATTTACTCCTTGAACAGGTTGTGTTCTTTCTCGATTCCACGACTTACAATATGTCCTATCCACCTATTTTATAGGATGCATCACATCCACCTAGAAATCTCTATCCCTCCTTTGTGCCAAGTAACTGCAGGTCATCCTCCAAAACCCTGCTCAAACATCACTTCCTTGATGGAGCCTTCGCAACAATCCCGGCTAGGTGCAGCACACCTTCTCCTGAGCTCCCATGGTCCCCTGGACAGCCCCTAGCAGGGGCTCATCATACTGGAGTCCAGCAAGGGCAGGACTGTGCCTCCTTTATCCCTGGTCCCCAGTGTCCCTCTGCACAGTGTCTGGGGCAGAGCTGCCTTCATTGAGGGTTTGTTGCATGCGTTGAATGATAAACACACGCTAAACTGCTCTCAGGGGGTGTTTTAAATTGGGATCAGATGTGGAGTAGGTGAAAACATTCGGTCACTAAAAACGCAACCCAGGGCACCTTACATTTCTTACCGAGAGGTGGTGGTTGCCTTTCTTTATTCTGGACAAAGTAGCACAGTGCCAGGCCCTGGGTTCCTGTCCCTGCACTGCTACTAACTAGCCGGGCAGGAGTCAGAGCCTTCACTTTGGACCTCCATTTTCTCATGTGTGAAATGAGGCAGCATGAGGTTCCCTCCAGCTCTACAATGCTGTCACCGGAGCCGGAGCTCTAATGCAGGTTCTTTTCACGCACAAAAGTAATGTTATTTGGTTGAGGGTTGAAAGAGACTTTGAAGGTCATTCAGTCCCACTCACAACCTGATGCCTGAATCTGCTTTACAGCCCTGCCAAGTAGTTTAGTTGCTGCTGGAACAATTCCCATGATGGAGATCTACCTCCTAAGATGGCCCATTTTAGATGTGGGCATTTGATTGGTAAGAAGTCTTTCTCCTAAGTCAAAAATCTACCTACGCATGACCCATATCTCCTTTACCATAAGTAACCATTCTCTCTCTGCTCCAATGGGTCACAGGGCACTGGCTGCGGCATTGAGACACAAGGAAAGAAATGACAAAGAAACACTTAACCTGTGACTTGATCAACCAGGATTCGAGAGGTGATGATACGGCCATATTGCGAGAAAAGCTGCTCCAGTTCCTTCTGGGTCATGGTTTTGGGAAGGCCGCTAACGTAGAGGTTAGCATCCCTGATTGAGGCAGAGCTCGGACGGGCATATGAGACCTGGGAAAAGGCAAGAGGAGCTAAATCCATTATAGCAACACCCTCCAAGTAGAGGCTGAGTCAACAACTGAAATGGCAGCCCCTCGTCTATCATTCTAACTCATGGTGTCAGTTGAAATAACTCAGTAGTTGAGATTCTTTGCTACTCTTGCAATGGTAATGAGAATCAGGAGAACAGCAATAGAGGAACAAAAGGAGAGTTGGCGATAACTTAAAACAAATGCACAGATAAGGGTCTCTTAGAGCAGAACAAAATAGCTACTGTATGGCAGCTGTTAAATGCAGAACTACCCACGCACGGAGTTCTGAAGATTTACCTCCTGGATGTGGGTGTATAGATGATTTACTGTATCCAACACATAATAATCTTTGAATAAACCAAAAAAAAAAAAAAACCTCCATGAAATTCTGCTCTGCAGATTTCTCTCCTTGCTGCCCTCCCCACCCCCAAGCCCTTCGTCTTCAACACATTAAAGCGATCAGGTTCTCTGCAAGATTTTTTATGTCCTGTCCTTTGTGTTGTTCCAATCTGCTCCCACAAGGTCTGCTCTCACTGAATGACAAAGTGCTGGTGAAATGGGGCTTCATGAACATCTGCTTGTGAAACTGGATATGTGACCTTGTCATAACATCTGCAAGAACTAGTTGCCTTCTAACTTTGAGGAGGAGCAGATAAAACCACAATCAACAAAATGAGGGGGGTGGGTGGAGGAGGGTGGGAGAGGGCAGGGGGAGAAAGAAGCGAGCCTCACGGATGGTTATAATAAGTTCGACTTTGTAAATTTGTCCTCCCAGATCTCTCAACTGTTTTTTTCCCCCAAAAAGCTAACACAGAAGTGTAAACAGATCTGAAATTCCATCTGCAAGAAGCCAAATCTGTAGCAGTACACATAAGCAAAGCAAACCCCAGCAGTCATTAATTTTAGACTTTCATTTACTTATTTATTTATTTTTTAAGAAAACAACATCAGACATTTGAAATATAATTTACAGCTAGTCTAACAAAAGCACTTTCCTGCTAAAGCTATTTCTGGGGCAGTTATGGCTCAGAATAGATGATGAAAACAGTCATTTTGGAGCACATCTGACAATGTTGGACAGGAAGGGACCTATATGCCTTAGCATTTTTCAGTTGGGAGTTTTATTTAATCCATATAACCAATTTACAAGGCCTGCTAAGACTAGAGGGGTGAGCAAGTGTGCATGTGCTTGTGTACTGCGCACACACAGAAGCCTGTGTACGGAAGAAAGTGTACATGTTAAACTGGACCCTTGGCATCAAGAACTACATCTCGAGTGGTGAAGCAGAACTTGCATGTGAGAATGGGTCTGGCAGTGGATCTAGCAAAGAGGAATGAAGGCTTAGCAGACCCCTCACCCTTGGCACTCGCTCCCACTCCATGACAGAGATGCCAGGTCCCTAAAAATAGATGTTGACTCAACAGATAAAATGATGTGAGTGACGAATCTGCCTCGCTGGTCTCCTCCCTCTATTGGAGCGAGGCAGCCTATCTGCAGTATCTATCTCTTCTAGAAACTCAGGGCTGGCCCCAGTAGGCTGGTTCCCAGCAGAGGGCTGACGTGGAAAGGGACATTTACATGGCCAGTCCCTGGGGAGTGGGGGCTGAAGGAGCAGGAATTTCATGTGACTGCTTGCACAGACCATCACTCCACACAAGGCTCTCCTACCCTATCCTTTGAGGAACAAAGTCTTTCAGGTTATAACCCAGCAGAACTAATTTTTAGGCATGAGAAAGGAGTGGTAGGGAGAAGGGAATAAGAACACTGTAGTGATACGTTCACAGTAATAAGAGTACCCCTGTCTCACCCCTGCCAATTATTAGACAAATTAATTACCTGAATTACATTTGTGCTGCCCCATAACATACCCCATAACATACCCTCTTACTTCTATGTCTTTGCTCATGGGGAAAACTTTTCCACCTACTTTCTCAGGCCCTAATCGTATTCTCCTTTAAGGCGCAGCTCCAAAGCCATGTTTTCTTGACAGCTTTCCCTGATCTTACTTCCTCCTAAAAATCCCCCCAACACACTACTAGTGCTCTCAATGAACTGCACCCATGGTCCATACTTAACCCATTCTGACCTTGATTCACCACCTTTCTATCTGGTCTGCTGATCTCATTGTGGTCATGGTATGTGTGTGTGTGTGTGTGTGTGTGTGTGTGTTATTCATCTTTGTGGGCTCTACCTCGCAGCACAGAGCCTCATACCTGTAGAATGCTCAACGCTGACAGAAAGAATAAATGAACATGCCCATAAAACATACTGAACAATGTAGGCGTTGGTGATTCTCTGGGGCTAACTGCAGCTTGGGTTTCTCCACTTAGGGGCCTCACCAAGACTTAAGCATCCAGAATCATAGCTGTGTTTCCCTATTAAGCTAAGAGCTAAGAGATAGGTTTCCTATTCCCCGGGGTCTGGGGTTGGAAGGACTGAAAGGAGATGGTTCTACGACTAGACATCACCCAGAGGCCTTCTCTTAGCAAACATTTCCCGAGGATCTGCTATGCAGCAGGCACGGTGCTGTGTGCTGGGGATGCCCAACAAGCGAGAACAAAGAGTGGTTTCTTGCCCTAAAGGATTTCCAAGTCCAGTGGGGACAACACACAGGAGGTACCCAATAAACATGAGTCGAATGCAAGAATGGTACGCATATGGACCAATTACCACAATGCCCCAGGATGTGTGCTATTCCAGGGCTAGAGAGCTGGGACTGGAACACAGAGAAGGGAAGACTCCTAGCCCTTCTGATAAAGGGTTAAAAGGGCCAGGAAGAAGACAATGCCGAGGTGAGACTGGCGGTGAGACAGGTGTGTGGTGGGGTCAGGGACCGTTGGTCTAGTGATAGCCCTCCTCTGCTGTGAGGACATAAGATGATGACAGTCAAGAGCTTAGTGCAGAGCCTGCTGGACATGCAATGGATACTAATGACCTTGACACCCAATCGTCTGGGCAGCCAGAGCTGGGGGAGGGGGTGGGCTGGGGACAGACCTGCTAGGAAAAGAAGCTGCCACTGGAAAGTCATTGGCAGAACCAAAACCATTTCCCCAAACCTCATCTGGGGAGAATTGCTGCCGCACAGCACAGCACAGAGCCAAAACAAGGCCCAAAGGTGAACATGGCACTTAGATCATTCACCAAACCTAACTCCTGCTTAGTTGTTCTCCTTTACTTGGAGCCTTAAGGCTCTTGTTCCCTCAATCCCCTGTCCAGGAACTCTGTAGAAGTGGGTGTGGGCAAAAATGACAGAAAAAGGACCTCCCTTTTTAATTAGCATTTAATATCCGAGTGCTTGTCCTGGTATTTGCACTTTTAAAGTGCTTCAGACCTTTATGAAATCCCGAGTGACTACAGGCATCAGGCACTTCGTTGTGCTAAAACATTTCTCAAAACTTATCCACTCCTAGCCCCGGCGGAGGGCCTGCCATTGCTGCTTTGTTAACCCCACTAAACTAGTGGCCTAGAGCCCAGGGCTTTCAGGGCTGAAGGCGGCGCCCAGGACAATCACGTGCCTCTGACTTTCAGGATCCTCCTCAATTCATTCCCCCAGAATCCCTGAAGACAGGGCTGGCATTTCTAGTCCGCAATGATCTTGCTCTGGAGCTCAGAAAGAGCTGGGAGCTGGGCAGCCACTCCTTTCTCTCTAGGTAAGGGTGGCCCAAGGCAGGTGACTTTACACATGATCTTGATAAAAGATTTACAGTCTCTCCAAAGTCCCCATCTCTACAGGCTCGCCCTAACTCAGTGCTCTGCAAGCGCAACAGTACAGCGTGACGTTCGTAAGCCCTGACTGTGGGCTGGCCCCGGCGCTCACTAGCTGTGCGACATGGGGCAATTTGGTCTTGATAAATCTCAGTTTCTCTACTGGTATAAAGGAGGACAATTTTCCTTTGGTGAAGAACTGAGATAATAGATTTAATGTGTATAGCAGATTCCTAGGACTTAGTAGATCTCCAGTAAATATTATTATGTGGTAGGTACTACAGGCTTTTGTGGGCCAGCATGGAACTCTAGCCCCATTGGACACACCTCAGTTTTACAGCACAAACATCTGGGATACCACCAGTGAGCACCTAGAGAGGCACCGCTGTCCTCCTCCATCAGCCTAGGGGAGTCATCCTTTACGACTTGGCTGCCGTGCATTTTCTCTAGCACATTCCTACAGATTCCGCTGTACTTCCCAGTTTCCACAAAGTACTTCCTAGTTTCCAAAATGACTTCATAAGGTGCTGCCAGTGATTCTCACCAACATGGTATGGAAGGCCCAGGGCTGGGGCTGCCCCTCCCGCGCCGCCCAGCACTCGCAGGCTCCACTCCCTGCTCACAGTCAGGCCTTGGGCTGCGCACGGCAGGAAGGACAGCACAGCCTGGGGAGAAACCTATCCTGAATCCTCTGGCCACCCCTCCCCTCCTGTCTAATGTGCCACGGTACAGGAAAAGGAGAGGACTGGGAAAGCTGATAAATGCTCGCTTTGGGGTGCTGAGAAGCTGGTGGGATAAAGACGTCTTCCTCTGCCTTGGAAAGGTGCTCCTTTAGCAGAATCCTGGCCTTAGAAGAAGATGAGAGAGTTCATTCATTCCTCCCCTTCCTGAGCACTTCCTGTCTGGCAGGCCCCGTGCTGGGTGCTGGGTGCTAGGTCCTGGCGGTGCCTCTGCTTCAAGGACCCCGTGGTCCAGTGAGGAAGTGAGCAAGTAAATGAAAGGTGCAGTACAGGGCCTGTCCCGGGCAAGGGGCTCCTCATTTCCCACCCGGGTGTTAGCTTCCGAGTGCAGGGAGTCCCTGGGGTGGCAATCCAGGCCTCTCAGTGCCCTCCCCCCCCCCCCCCCCGCCCAGGGGACGTACTGGGACCACTGGGACAGGTTTCAGGAAAGGCAATGGGCACGGGGGCCTCAGCCGCTGCCTGCTCCCTTCAGCAGCCAGACACAGCTGGAAGTGCACTTTCCGGCCCAGGCTCTGTACTGTGGGAGCAGGCTCT